ACCATTTGTCCTCCCAGGGTTAGGGCTCATGATTTGACTATACCACGCAGCCTCTAACATTTATTATAGATTTTCGGTGAGGTGGCGCAATACGTCAGGTCTATCGACCAGATGAACACTTCATCGGCGTCGCTTTACAATATGCTCGCAGGTCACCAAAAGGAAATAACAGCACCAGGTCTGACGATATTCTGCAACGTGTATGATGTGGGGTTGGCCCACGTACTCGCTATCGTAAGTGCAGGCGCCTGAGAAGCCATGCTGCCGCTGAGTCCATATATGTCCTCAGGACGCGCCTAATGCCGGAAATAAGCGCTTTCTCATCTGTGCAGATGAGCCGTACAACGATAAAATAATTGCAGATAAACTTATCAAATACTATCCGGAGCTCGCCCAAAACGTCCCGACCACGCTTGCTGGGAATGTCACCTCTGAGGGATGGCCCACCGGCGGATATTATACTGGAAACAATTCTCTGAGTAAGGAGGTTTTGGGGATGAGATATCAAAATCTGGAGGACACGATAGCCCAATATGTACACAGCATCAGAAATCTGCCCAAGTCTCAATAGAAATCATCGATTAGTTACCAATAAAGGCTTAGATTCCAATCACATGACCCTTAGGAATGATCTTATACAAGTAATCTGACTAAGGACAGTTGGCGCCTTGCTCGCTGTTTCGCTGTGCGGATCCGATTCTGTCTTTCGCCATTGCGTATGTCTGTACCGACAGCCCTTGCCACAGCATGACCCATCTCAGGATTCAGCAAGAAAAATCTTTGCTGCAACAAGTGACTCTCTTCTTGTGTCGTCACCCCCTCTTCTATATAACAGGTTCTAAACAAGAGGTGCGCACCCGCCTCCAGCAGTGATCATGCACCGGCTTAACTGACATGCGGTACCGTCCGCTAGAATCAATCGAGCATCAACCAATGAGAGTCTCGATCGTCCAAGTAGTGCAACATGTGGAGTCTCAGTCTGCCAATGGCGCTGCTTCTACGAATCCGAATTCGAAGCGAACGGTTGTGAGAGCGTCCCGTTCGAATATCCCGAAAAGGAATCCGGCATTAACTCTAGGATTTAGCTTTTCCTGAATCGTTCGATCATTATAGCAACGATTCATTTTGACAGTCTCGTATCTGGTTCAGTTCAACCAGTTGCAAGCAAAGGTGCCATTTTCTGATCCTCCCCTTTACCCGGAATTTGGAGGATTAGAAATGAGCAAACCACCTCTCGTGTATCCTCAAGGACGGCAAATGGG